CTGAAACACAAAGGAAACAAACGGTCAGGAAACGTGAGCTACCAGCTACGGCCAACTGCAGCCTTTTCACGGCGAAGTCTCGTGTTTAGTATGTCCACAGAAAACATCACCACCATGATTATTTTGGTAAAATCGAGATTATTTTACTTTATTATTATTATTATTTTACTTTACTTTTGTTTCTCCTTATCAGCTGAAAGCTTTGGTGTGGCTTTTCAAAATAAGAGCTCACATGCAGGGAGCACAAGACCTTACATTTGGACCTGTGTACGAATCCATTGATGTGTGTGAGGAGTTACCTGGCAGTCAGGTGTCTGTGGCACCTGTCACAGGTGAGGTCTGCATATCTGACCAATCAGAGTACCGGACACAATCAACGCTGCCTGCATTAAACTGACACAGGTTCCCCTGAAACACCTCCAGACAGACACGGCACCAAGCCAACCCCACATTCTGCTTTTCACCCTCAGTGTTTCCATCCTCTGGCTTTTTATCTCATACACACCTGCTGTTAGGGTCAGGGGTCAGGGGTCAGGGTCAGTGCAGAAAGGTCCACACTATCTCTATTTTCTTTTACTTGCTCCTTCATTAAATAAACACACACACACACACACACACACACACACACAGGTACAGGAAACAGGACAGTGTTGTGGAGGAGACAGCACAAATGAGAGCTGAACACTGTGTGCATGCAGTTAGCATGCTAAGCTAACCTCACTAGCTACATTTCTTGTAGTATCTAATGGTTTGTTGATTCAATTGTTTTTTGTTTTTTTTTATATCATGAACAGACCCATTTCAGAGTTAAACAGTCGTGCTGTTATGGGTTTATTATTACGGTGGAGTTGTGGGCGTTTCTAACCGTTGGTTTGAATTCTTATGCTGGACCGGGAAGGGAAAACTCTTACTTCATTAGCACCGCCAAGCTTTCCCTCATCAGCTGCTACTGGTGTTTTCCGCATTTCCAAATGTATTTACAATGAATCCGAGTGTTTTGTAGGATTTGCCGTAATTCCTGGTGTCTTTCTGTTGGCTACCGTTACTTGCTCTGATGCCTCCACCATTGCCTCGGTCAGCTCTGTGCCATTTATCAGGATGGTGTGTACTTGAATACTTGTGAAACCTCATCAAGGTTGGCCCGTGTATTTTTCCAATCGTAAATTTGTATCATGACTAGTGTGCTCAAAGTACCTGGATGTGTTCTTGCCCCGCCCATTTATCGAGGACACATCGATGCATCCTTCTTCGGACTTAGGCCAACAAGGCATCCCATAATGTATTGTCACCAACTGTTGCACTCCAAAAGGAAAATGGCAGAGGAGAAAGCTCATAGAAATTCAAACGCTAAATAAATAAATATAAAGATGTCTTAGATAACTGTGTGTAAAATTTGCTTTGTGTCTTCACAATACTGCTAAATGCTAATTAGCGAACCCGCTATCAAAGTTAACCCCAGATGTCTTTTATTTATATTTCAGGTCATTGTAGTTTGAAATGCTGCCCTCGCCCTCTCGTACTCAGCAGAACAAACTATTTTACACCGACCAAGAACGTACTTGTCAAGTATGGAAGAATGGCTGTTTCTCAATGTCAAGGAACCTCGCCTTGATGTCTTGGCCCCGCCCCGGTTGCCTAGGAGATACGTCATCGGGAGCCACCAAGACGTGTTCCAGTGTTCCTGTTCTACAGAGGCGTGTTCTCCGTTTGTTAGCCGTTTAGCTAGCTGAGCGAGGACACACAGGAGGTGTCTTGTAGCCTAGCCTTGGTGAAAAATTACCCACAATACACCGCGGTGTTTTCAAAAGGACGGCGGATCAGAAGCCGGCAGCTACTTCGGCAGCTAATTTAAAATGTTTTTTTAGATCCAAAGAAGTTATCTATGGTTGGTTAGTAGCTTAGTAGCTGCAGCTTCGGTGGCTAGCGGGTAGTTACTCACTTATATTTTTAATTTAATAAACATTTACACAATTTAAAAAGTAAAAGGTTCGTTATACATTCATATTGAAACTAATACTTATAAAAATAACGTTATCTCCCGTGTCATGTGATGTTACTTGACCGCCGTGGAAGCTGCGGCCACGTGATGCAAGTCTGTTCCCTTTAACCGTTTTCTTTGACCAACGAAGGACAGTGTCCTCGTAAGCAAGGCGCCTGGCCTCGCAAGACATCGCCTCGTAAGGCCAGGCGCCTTGACGTTGAGAAACACCCAACGTTTGTGCACATCTGGGTCTGAGAAACGGCTCTGAGCGCCGCTGTGCCTGTTTCTGCTGCTGGGTTAAACAGGCAGCCTTGTCATTAGTCTGAGCTCTGCTGTCACCTAGTGACTGGAGGCTGGTTTACACTACAGTTCACTAGAAACAATGGCTCCACCAGCTCTGGTTCCTCACGGCCCCCGCTCCCCAGGGGGGTGCCACGCTAACTGAGGAGCACTGTTATAAGCTTCATTCATAAACGTCGTGAGCTGTTTCAGTAGCTGGTATTTATAAACCCTGAGGGAAACAACGGTATAAAGTTACAGAGTGTGACATTAGTAAAAACTGTAAAACGTTCATCATTACAGCCCGTTCATGTCCCGCTAGCTGGGTACGGTAACAGAGGGGTCATTTAAGGACAGCTGGAGGCCTGCCAACATCACAGAGTGCTGCATCACCAGGGTTTAAATAAAGCGTCTGCTGCAGCATCGCAGCCAAACCAAATCAGCTGTCTTTACAATCATACAAGACCTTTGCTGCTCAGACACACTTATTGCATAAATAATTGATATTAACAGCGGAAATGTCACTGAACGTGTGTGTTGAACTATCAGCAACCCTTTCAGATCAGAGCTTCCTGGGTGTGTAAAACACAAGCATCCTGCCTGGAACACCTAGGATCAGGTGTTTGAAAGAGCCCTTTTCCTCACAGTTTCTGAAGATCATGCAGAAATGCTCATAAGTGGGTTGATGGACTATTTCTAGAGCTCTGGTTCTGTCAGAAAGCAACCTCGACCGGACATGGTAGCGTTGGGATTTGGTCATAATTTAGTTTCACATCTGGTGCTGCTTTCATGCAGAGAGCCAATATTTAGAAGGTCACACACACACACACACACACACACACACACACACACACACACACACACACAAGTCTATAAGGTGATATATTTCAGGTACTTGTGTGACTCCATGATGAAGCAGATGTTTTCCAGGTGTGTGTCATTACCCAGGATTCAGAGGAAACGGTGCAGCGTTGAACCGCGTGATCGGTGCGGTCGATGATGTAATCCACCGCTCTGACTTTACGGTTACAAACCACGACACACCGGCAGGGATTCAGACACTTTCAGGCTTATTTAATCAGCTGCAGTGTGAAACAAACGCCATTTATCACAGCAGCAGGAAGCATGTAAGCTAATGTTTGTAAGCTAGCTAAACCGCTGTCTGAGCCCCAGCTAGGTGAGCAAAATCTTCCCACACAGGAACTGGGATTGAACAAGTAGAAACCAGGCTAAACTGGTAAAAACTAATGGAAGAAGTCTGAGCAGCCCCACCATGGTGGACCCACGTGATCAGCACCTGGTTGAGCAGCATCAGACCAGTTTTTTACAAAGAGACACAAACAGTATCGGGTCGATGCCAGTCCTGGTGTTGGTGCATTCCCAGTGGCTACTGAAGTAGAAGATTTCTAAAGTTTTAAAGGCTTTTATTGAAACTTAAATTAAAGGGTTAATATTTACAGTGTAGGTCCTTCTTCTAGACCGCTGTAGGTCACCCTGACACGTGTTTATTCAGCTTCTGGCCCAGATCCGGACAAGTGAGTTGTGAAGTCCGTGTGCTACAGCGACTCTGGGATGATACTGATGCCATGATGCTTCACTCTCTCTCTCTTAAACACACACACACACACACACACACACACACACATATAAATGCATGGACTCAGAAACACAAGCAGGGAGCACTGGGTTTCAAAGGGGCGGTTGCTAGGTAACAAGCATCCTAGATCTTCCCACACATCACAAGGAGAAGTGTACCAGACACACACACACACACACACACACACACACACACACACACACACACACACACACAGCTGCTGTAATGAGAATGGTGGCATCCTTGTTCTCCAGATGATCTGTCTCAAAAAGACCCCCCCCCCCCCCCGAATCCAGATCAGCTGAAAAAAGCACAGCAACATGGCTGCAGCTCATTAGCACGATTACCTCCTTCAGAAGGGTGTAACATACCAACTTTTGCTCCTCCTTTCGACTCCTTTGGGGTTCTGGAGGTGGAGAAGCTAAATGAGCAGTTTTCCATATCTCCAGCTGCCTGGTTCCCATTTAGCTGCAGACCCGGAGCCACACCAAAGGGAGCCTCGGCTTTTAGAGCAGGAGCTGGCCCAATTAGACTCATATGCAGCAAAGCAAGCACAGTAACACTTCAGCAACTAAAAGCCCAGAAACACACGTCAGGGTCCATCTGTACGGATCAGTAATTGTTTGGTGGTTTAATGAAACATGGAGACTTTAACCAGCAGGGCTCGTGTACATAAACACAACTATTATGTGGGTGGTTTAAATATTATTTGGTAAAGTCTCTTTGGGGGTTCTGGAGAGGAGGGTCCGACCAATAGTCTGGCCTGAGATTTGAGAGGAACAATGTGGTGTTGGTCCTGGCCGTGGAACGCTGGACCGGCTCTTTGCCCTCATCCGCGTCCTGGGGGGTCCACCAGGACCAGGGGGTGATGGGCCCTCCACGCGGTCACCTGCTGATTCCATCGTGGCCGCATCACACGTCTCCTCACCAGTAATTACTGCTGAGAGCAGCGCTATGAGGGTGTGGGTAGATGGCAACTATTCATGCAGCTACAAGCTAACTGACCTAACCCAAGCTAGCAGAGGTTAGCAAGAGCTTTTAGCCTAATAAAAACTGCAGCAGAGCGACCCTCTACCTTCTAAAGCCTAGCTTCAACTTCTCATGGGTTTCAGAGACACGCAGCGCCACTATCAGCTGCTGCAG